GAACTACACCTGCGACTCCTGTTCTTCTCCTCCCACTTTCTTTATTGTACAATATGTTCATAGTCTTTTTTTTTGCTGAAAACACAAATCGCTCTTTGGGGACAGATAAAGTTGAAAGTTGGCAAATGCATATGGATAAAATTAGAGGCCCAACAATTCTCTACCGTTCAATCGAGCTGCAGACAATTTCACACACAGTCCAGACTACATCAGTCCTCTAAACATACCTGATATTTTAGAATCAATATCCATGAATAATTCTCTGGCAAAACAGAGAAAATGATGAAAAATGTTCTAGTTTGACTTTAGAAAGTTCTTATCACACTGATGTTGGTTCAAGTTTCAAGTTTCTGAAACATTTGGTTGTAATTAGTTAATTCATGTGAAAACAAGTATAGAGGTCAAGCGCTCGTCTCCATTACCCCGATTGCTTGTTGTTCACACTCCGGCTCTAAATGCACAAGATGGCAGTAGTCGTATCCAGGATATTTTTAGCGTCATATCTGTTTAGTCCGTCTTTATTTATAATCTACGGTTTGGAGCAATTATTATTTCCACCCATATAGTTGTTGTAGGTGGATTGACAACACAGTTACTTGTGGTCAAGGTCCATCATAAAACTACCCTCACCTAAAACCCACTTAAATGCAGGTGGTATCATTTCATCAGGTTCCAGCGGCCGAGCAGAGGATTCTGGTCCCCTGGTTTATCGGAGGCCAGCAGGGACAGTCTCTCTGCAGCGAGCAGAGACCTGACTGATCGTCCTCTCGGAGCCGTAATGGAGGACCGTGGATCACATTAGAGTCACATTAGAGCGACTGGCCCGAGAGGTTAATTAAGGACGAGTGAGGCCCAAGGACTTTCTCTCTCTCTCTCTCTCCCTCACTGTGTGTTAGTCGCTGGATTTATTTCACTGCTCGGATTAATGCTGATGATCTTATGGGAGAGGGGGGGGGGTGCACTCCTACTCTTCATAATGATTTTTATTCTCCAGTTTTTTTATTATGTTGCTTTAAATAAAGTCAAAAGACCTGAGGAGCTGAACTTCAGACTGAAGTGTTCTACACTCTGAGTGATTCCTTCATTTGGACCACATCATACAAGCCTCTCGGCAAAATCCTATTTCACATGCAAATACCTCAAATTCCACTCAGTGTTTTCTGTGTCCTCAGAAGTCCTTTTATTTTCTCAGAGGTTCGGACTTGAAAACAGGAAAGCTGCTTAACGTGAACAACTATCGAGCTGCATGTTGTAAGATGAAGTAGTTTCTGCATCAGTGGTGAAAATAAATACATTTAAGTGCAGTACTTAAGTAAACATTGAGGTACATGTACTGCATTTAATGCTACTTTATTCTAATGCGCTGCTTTGACAGTATATATATATATATATATATATATATATATATATATATAATTTATTACTTAGTGAATTGTTTCCTATGTTTTCTGTTTGATCACTGTATTAATCCATCTCATCTCATTCATCGGTCTCTTTCCATAAAATGTTCATCGAACCCAATGAGCTGCAGCTTCCACCTCCAGTAACATCTCCGTCATTTGGCTGATGCTTTTATTAAATCTGCTCCACACTTCCATAAGTACATTTATTTTTCATGTCGGTGTGTGAATGGGCAGAACTAACTGGTTAAGTGTGTGTTCACTTTACACTTCATGTTATGGAAAGAAACTCCCTGAAGTACAGATGGTGCAGTGAGAGAAGTAGACTCCACATTTACCTGAATTCACCTCGAGCAKCAGACACGAACAGGAAGTAAGAACTGTAGTGTAGCAATGAGCACTTTTTAAAGTTGAAACACATCCAACAAACCATTGCAAGGATGGCTCTCACTGACTGGCACACGTGGTCGCTCTGTGGTAAACGTAATATAACGCTGAACCGTCTGATCATAAGCAACACTGCAGCTGGGAAACAAATCCGATGACGTAAAAGAACCTGAATCCACCTGTTTTTTTTTTTTTTATTCGAACAAAGACGCTGTTTTCTTTAAAGTGAGTGTGGTGACCTCACCTGAACGGACGAGCTTCCTCATTAACAACACAACAACGATTATGCAACACAGCGACGGCCCAAATTCACCTCCTGCTTTCATCATACGAGCAGAAATAAACTGTGTGCACGCAAACGGTTCAGTGTGCCAGATGTGGGTCAGTCCTGAGCCCACGGTCCTCACTCCCTCTCTCTCCCTGCTCCTGGGGTGAGAGAGGGTCAAGAGACACAGATTGAAATACAGAAAGGGAGCGAGCGAGCGAGCGAGGTGGTCTGGGTTTGAGTCTGATTCACCTGAAAGTGCAGCGGCAGCCGGACCACTAATCTACCTCTTCACCCAGCATCACAGCTCAGGGGATTGGGGATTACAACAATAGGATTTAGGGTTTATAGTTTTTTTTTAATATATATATATATTTTCTGCCTCAACTCTGTCGCTTCTCTCCCTCACTTTGCTTTTATTGACTGAGACTGAAGTGCACAGAGATTACACTCACACACTGGTGATTAGTTTGTTTGAAGGAGTTTAATGATGCTGCTTAAAGCTGCATTTGAAGAAATAAAATATTTAATACTCGTGTCTCAATTGTAAATGAAAAATCTATCTTTGATTTTTTTTTTTTTTGACTTTTGGAAAAACCAATATAAATGCAAAAATCTGTTTTGTAGCTGCAGCTTTCGATCACCCAGTCGTCAGGATGTTGGGAATACTTGAATTTCTCGACTTTTCCACAAGGATTTCATGTTTCACGTTTGCTTAAAATCTGCACAGTTCATGAAATAAAGTTTATTATCATATTAACTGTTCCCCCTGAAACAGCAGGTGAGGAAAACAATCTCACCTCAAAGTCCAAGTTGTTCAATATATCAACTCCGGGGGTTATGGGAAATTGTAAAACACAAGTCAGTCACTGAAAATAATGTCAGAATTCACATCTAAATGACAATAGCAAACTCTAATAATTATTATTATAATATTGACTGTAAAGAAATACGACCTTTAGCTCTAATTCCAACCTGAACTTTAAAATCGAATATTAAACTGAGAAAACGTCCTCACTTCGCTGCACCTTGGTTTTCTCACCAGCCTTGCGAGGACACAGGGGTCCTCATAAAAACTGCAACACACGGACATGCTCACACACACTGAAACGTGTCAAACCCAATCAAGCAGCCCTAGTCATGGCAGGCACGAACACATGCCCTACAACACCACAACGCACGACAGCACTCGTGGGTGCAGTCATGCATGTTCATCATGTATAGATACAATCCCCCTCTCTCTCTGACACACACACACACACACCCTGTGCAGACTGCTTACTGCTCTTCAAGTGTTTCTTGTGGGTGTTTGCATTATTTTTTTGTTTGCCCTCCACCCACATAAACACAAACCACCAGTTTCACAATCAACCAGCACTTGTTCCCCACAGGCCTGACGCAGACTTCACTCCTCGTTCAGTTACTGCAGCCCCGGACTGATGGATTCGGTCGGACAGATTGCATTGATTGATTAAATGCTTCAAAGAAAGAGACAACTAAAGAAAGCAGAAGAAAAAACAACCCTCATACGTCTCAACAGGGAGAAAAAATCGACACTGACAGTTTTTACTAAATATATCCGGAGCGGTTCTAAGAAACGACGTAAAGTGACACATTTTTCAAGTCTCCACTTAATCTTAATTTAATTGTAAGTGATCTTCTTAGACAGTTGGAGACAGCTGATGAAAAAATTGAAAGTGGTTTTGAAGCAGATATATATTTGTTTTGATTTCACAGTGATGTCAGAACTCTGTTCAACATCAAGACGGATTCTCTGCTGCATTAAGAGTCGATGAACGCTCCGGACTGCAAACCCCTCGTCTGATTATGGGATGAGACCATATTCTGTTTTTTAGATCAACCTTTTCTGTATTAAACCACAAAATAATCTTTCTCTAACCAAATGCCTGAAAACAACCAAAGCCATAATTCCTCCACACTTTTGTTGCCTTGATCTAACCCCAGTCACCCTCCACCACAGCCTCCTCCTCTGCGGCTCCGCTGCTTCGCCTGTTAATTCATTCAGAACTAAAAAGCAGGATCCCATCAGGACGCAGACAAACACGTTCTCACAGAGATGCAGAGTCAGAACTACACATCCCTCAGAAACACATAAAAAACCACTGCCCTGTTTCTCTTAAATGATGCATTTTCACAAACAAAAGTTTCAGGTCAGAGGGAAAAGTTTCCTGTGGTTATTTGTTTTTTTCTCTCTCCTCTGCATCGTGAATCAGTTATGAGCCTGGTCTCTGTTTGCTCCGCGGCTCAGCCTTTAATCATGCTCAACACTCCGCCCATGAAACATTGATGCCCCCCTGTTTCTGCCGGGTGACGAGCATCGCGCAAAAGCTAAGATCAAACACGGAGTGAATTTTTCAGGATGCAGACGGAGCAGAGCAGGGATTCTGTGGGTTTTAACCGCAGCGATCATCCTTTAAAAAACAACACATTTGTGGTTCCAACCTGTTTGTTTCTCTTCTGTTCGGGGAATTAGAGACAAAAACAAAGGTTTGGACAAATCTGAGGGAACAATTCGTGAGCTGTTTGTGTTCGACCACTGGAAAACAGAACTTCTCATGTTACGTCTTCGTCTCAAAGATCCTCTCTCCTTAAATATTCCTTTTCAAAACAACAACTTACTTTCCTCTTATGTCCTTTACATTTTTATTTGTAAAGGACAGAATGTGAAGGGCAGATATGGAGGATTATGGACTCACAATTGTCATATTATTTGATTTTTAGCATCTAAATTCACTTGAAGTTGAGTGTTATTCTTAAAAAAGTACAAAAAACTGAAGTGTGACTCATGTGTAATAACTTGCTTTTGAATACAACTCCAAAAATGTAACATATCTCTTTGCACAAAAGACAAAATTGATGGAAAAGCAAAATGAAACGTGAATGAAAAATGTGCGACGGCGTCCCACACGTGTGAGACGTGTATTCACCTTCATGTGTCGTCGCCTCCGTCTGAAGCGCAGCAGCTCTTTGTGTTGGCGAGCGATGAAGTTGACAGCGGCGTACTCCAGCAGGGCCGAGAACACGAAGAGCAGACACACGGCCATCCAGATATCAATGGCTTTTACGTACGACACCTGCGGGCAGGGAACACAGAGGAACGTTTGTTGAGTTAAAGGTTTCGTGGTTACATCACAAATTTCTCCCCGAACATTGTCCGATTTGAGACACGATTTATTTTTACCTTTGCGACATAAAAAGTGCGGAATGAGAAGTTTCGTCCAGTGTTGGACAAATATACTCTTTATAGAAACAACCGGTGGAGTCGCCCCCTGCTGGTCAGGTTACAGGCTCTTCTGCATTGGCACCAGGACTCAACGTCTATTTGTATGTACAGTCTATGTTCTAGAGTGAAAACCTACAGACTCTCACCAGGCTCCGAGGTGAGATGAAGTTTCACAGTGGTCCATGTTGTAATAATAAATTTACATCCAATCAACCAGCAGGACTAAAGGACACATGATCAGCTGCAAAAGATCAGTTTAACGTCATCAGGAGTTTGGTGTGAAGTGGACAAGGTGAGTCCTGTGCAGATAATCAGGGCTAAATGAAGATCATTGTCTGATTGCTATCAGCGCACCAAGCGCCATTATTCAAGTGAATTCAGTCTGTCAGTGCGAGTCTCCTCCTCGTCTCCTCTAAGCAATTACAGCGAGCAGCCAGAGAGGGAGATTCCCTGATCTGTTTCACAGAGAATAAACCCAACAATCAGACGTTTAAAATCCAATTAAACTATGACTTTAGATCACGTTACACACACACACACACACACATGGTTTGATGGTCATCCAGGCAGAGAGAGAGAATAAAAGGCAGAAGAAAAGGAATACAAGCGTTCCTACATTTATC